GATTCTCAACTTAACTTAGAAGCAAATGAAGCATTAAAAGTACATGAAATGTTAGGTCGTCCGGTTAGGTTTGTTAGATTGTTTTGTTCAAACTGTATATTTTTTGTGTTCAACTTGTCCATCCAACGTTTTTGTTTTAACCTTCTTATTACATGAAAAAATTTTGCTCCTTCATTGAACTTTTATATTCTGATACAGGAAAATTATCAGTGTTTGAAGGACGATCACTTGCTTTTATATATGTAGGGGAAAATCTGTGTTCATTATTTGATCAGAATATCCCCAATAATATTTGTCAGTTTCGCCCGAAAAGGCTATACAGCTCCTTTTTTTCATTGCCGTCTGTTCAGATTCATGGTCAATAAAAAGATCGAATCTGATCTCCAGCGAATGCTAGGAGCTTTGAGCCGCACGCGGGGGGACTGCAAAGAAATCAAATGCGCCATCATGGCCGAAAAAACCTAGAGCCTCTAAGCCCAACAATAAACCTCAGATTAACGGGCAACGCAAACGCGGTGATAAATAACTGACAGCCCGAGAAAAAAGCTTGGTTCTTCATTTATTTGGAAGCTCGGGATCGACATTTAAAAACGAATGTAACGTTATTCTCAAAGTGCCGCAATAAATTCCACAGGCAATATCTGACAGCCTTGCCCAGAGCGAGGCTGCCGTTTAGTGGGGAAACCCTGAAGCAGCGAACGACTTCTTCGCTTTTAAAACATCTTGACCGTGACCTCGACAAGTGTACCGCTCCTCGCTGACCTGGACTGGATTCCTTGTGAACGCACTCAGGCATGACGATACAGAAAAGACTCTCAGGAATTAATGAGAATTAAAGTTCAAGGTTTCTTTGTCGACAATTTCAGACTGAGGAATAATGCTATTTATTTCCGATGCCTTAAACCTCCTTGTACTTGAAAATAAATTTGTAGTAATTGCACGACGAGGTAATATCAGCACGAATTTCTTGTTCAGTATTTATTACATTGTGAAAAAAACATTTGTTTTTTCTTCACAAAGCAATGCGATACATAAACTGCGACAGCTGTGTTTTTTGTTCCGTTTAATTGTACTTGAAGATAAAGTAGATTTTTACTTCAAGAACTCACGTCAATTTTTCAAGCGGGGTATGCGTTTTTTGCCTGTTTAAAGAAAACTTGGTTATAGAAAAATTGAGTGAATTAATTTCCAATGACCGACCGCCTCGCAAGTTTGAAGAGAGAGTATGAATATTTTCTTGCACGTTAGCTGTTAATTAGTGGTGTCGACTGCGCATGCAATTATATTTATTAATAAATAATATGCAAAAATTTAATTAGTGAATTTTTACTCTTATATGATTTAAATTGTGGTATTAACAATTACCATCATCCGTGAATGAAAAACTGTACTTAAAGACTCATAATTTTGAATTCATCGACCATAGCTGAGGATCTCATTAAAAAATACATTTATTACCTGTAATGAAATCAATCCAAATATATATTTTCATTCGAAATTAAAAACAAATTTCATTAAACCGATATTCTGCATGCATCCAAATAACAAATTCGAATAAATAAATTGGAATCAAAGTCATTTAAAGGGTTCAAGTATGTATAGCGATATGACAGTTTGGATAAATTATTATGTCTACGATAAGGAGTAAACTTTTTCACCTACGATAAAGGATAAATCATCACCTCCATTTTAAGGGATCAATTTTCCCCAACGATAAAAGGATAAATGGCTCTCTCCACTATAAAAGATAAGCTTTCACTCCTTTTTAAAGCTTTTTAAGTCATAAGTTATTCTCTCTACGATAAAGGATAAATTTTTCCCTCTACGACGTAGGATAAATTATCACCAAAGTCGTAATTATTCAGTTGTATTATTCATTGTCACCAAAGTCTGTAAAGTCTGCATAAATTATTCCCTGTCTGAAAAACTATAAATGATTTTCTCGTCGATAATAAGGGATAAATATTGAACCCTATTCGATGGCACAGGACAGGCGGGCACAAGCACTATGTTCTTGCAGTTTGGTCCTACCTGCAGTTTGTAAAATTTCAAAAATTTAAATCTGATCCTATAAATTAAGTTGACCAAACATCCACATACTGTATGTTTCAGGATAGAGTTAACAGATGAAATAATTAATTAAGCAATTTATATACAGTGCCATAAAGTATTAATATATAGACGTAATTGACGATTATTAACCTAATGAAGAAGCAAGTTTGTGTAATGGTTCTCACGGGTATACCAGTTTATTTATATTTTAAGATTCTTTCTCTGTGACTAGCAGCCTGGAATTATACGAGCAAATGTTTCAATAGAGCAAAATTAATCAAATCTTTGTTGTTTTAAATCAGAAACTTTACTAAATTTTATTTTTTCATTTGAACGCATCCACTTTTCTTTCCCTACCTAAATACTGCTAAATTTATTTTTTGAGGTAAGAGACCAACTGATTCACTCAAATTATCTCGTTATTCTAATATTCAGGATAAACACGCTAACAACTTACACACTACACAGTATGTTACTTCGCACTTTCTTCTTCTCATTCAAAAGCGATGAATACTATTTGCTTATCATACCGATGTCAGACTCCAGTTGCCCGAGGCGATGGCAAAACTCTTCGGAGTATGGATATCAAGTTTAGATTACTCGATGCACAAGTTCGCCGCCGCGTATAGACAGTCTTCACGATAAGAAACCAACTTAGGCAAGCCAATGGAGTTTTTCAGGCGTGCAGCGATAAATCTAACAGTTTGGGAGAAATCAGTGGCTGTCCTAACTTCAGTCTATGGCAGATAGGTGATGTGCGTTTTTGTTACATTACGTAAAAAAATACAAGTTTTGGATTGAGACACCCAGGGAAAAAGTGTTTCAATAGACAAGAAAGGACAAAAAAATCTGGAAATTCTTGTAGTTTACTCTTATGTAAGATGTCTTTGGAATGTCAAGTGATGATTAATCAATGGCACTGCCCCAGCCTTCGTTTGCAGCCCAGCAATGACTTTTTTCCATATCAGTTGCAATCGCAGTAGTGTATCGCTATTCCATTCTTCCGTTCACACATTCGAACAAATACTTTTTGGACATCTTTCACGAGGTTCCATTTTATATCAAACGAAAATTCAATTTCAAATCATTCTTTCAATGTAACTAAGAACAAAATTATTTTCATGTATTAGATATTTTAGTTTTTTGTCAGAAAAACGCGTTGCAAATCAGAACGGATCAGATGAACAGCCTTCACGAAAAAATTAAATTACCAGGTATTACATTCGTACATAAATTGGTCAAACTTTTCTTTGAGTGTCACTCAAATGTGCAAAGCTCGGCTTTATGCTGCAAATTTCAGTTCACGAGCCGCTGTTTTCACTCGAAGGCTCACTTACCCGCTGTGTTGTGTGCCGACGTGTCAGCAAGCGAGACTCTTTCAGAAGAAGTTGCAGCAAATATCCTCCATAGACGACGTTTATGATGAAATATTAGCGAATATCACAGCACACAAATAGCGTGACAATATAAAGAATAACAGCTGAGCACCACATTGCTCTCATGGCTCTCCATGATACGCTCGTCATGAGGGCAATAAATTCCATGAAGGAAATAAGGCAAAGTCATTCGTCACTCGGCAACCAATAAGCGTCACGTACCGACCCCTGGCGACAAAAATGCTCAGTAATTGTGGTTGTTTGCAGCAAGCTCTGCAGCGAAGCTAACTTCTGCTTTATTTCATGACGTGATAATGAAACAGTGTAGGGTAATAGGTGCAGAGTTGAGACTTCTGCACTGCCGTGAAGATCTGCAAGCTTTAACACGTTCCGACATAAAATCGATGAAGGAGATCGTAAAAATATTATATTTTCACGGGATTTCAATCTTCGGGGAAAATTTACGAGCATTCATTTAAAGTTAGAGCTGATAAAAAAGAATCATGTATAGAACATTCAGTTACTTTTTCTCATGGCCAATTTAATAGATCATGATTAAATTAAAATCAAAACGAAATTGAGATAAACTGGGTACCGACTTCTGTATTATAAATATTACGGCAACAATTGCTCGCGCCACTGTGATGAAGTGATGCTAGGATCTATTATTTCAGGACACAATGAACGCCGGCACTCAGTGATATTGCTGGCGCTGGCCCGCGTCAATTCTATTGATTGCGGCGACGAAATGAGGCTGCATTGCCATCATAATATGGAAACAATATTTGTTGCTTGGATGTTGAAAATATTTATTTACGATGAACAAACATTCTTTAAAATATATAATCGGGGTCAATATTGTATTAATTGCAGGGAAGCTTTTCTGTAGGCTTGATGAAAATATCCAGCCCGATAATGAAATTAATTCGAATTAATCAATTTAAATTTATGAATGAAACTAATAAATATCGAACTAATTCCCGACAGCTTCATCACAAGTATATTTAAAAAACATTATTATCGTTATATGTAAGGGTTTGCTCTACGAGTGAGATAATTTCTATATTATCACAAAAATTAAATGAAGTATAATTGTAAATGTGCGAACTTTCTTTATAGAATTTCATATGAAATATTTTTTACCAACCAACATAGGAATGGTCTAATAGTTTCACCATCAACGTAGGAATATTTTAATAGCATCACCATAAACGGAGGAATATTTTAATAGCATCACCATAAACGGAGGAATATTTTAATAGCTTCACCGTCAACGTAGGAATATTTTAAGATCTTCATTATCAACGTAGGACTAATTTAATAACTTTACCATTAACGTAAGAATATTTTAATAGCTTAACCATGCATGAACGTAGAAATATTTTAATAGCTTCACCGTCAACGTAGGATTATTTTAATAGTTTCACTTCTCTTTGGAAGCTCTTTAGCTATGCATAGTTACGCTGTAGACCCAGCCTACTACTTTAATAAATGTAAAGTTATCATTTAATATTTCATATTTTGCAGTATTTAATATTCATATTTAAACAAATGCTCAATCACTCCTTGCAGCTCAGCATGCTTGCCCTGCCACTGCTGCTGCTGGTGACGCTGGGGGAGCGCAGCGCTCAGGGCCAGAGCAGCCAGAAATATGACCCTGAAGCGCCCCCACAGGTGAAGTTCCCTCACTATTAAAGTTAATTCAGGATTTGATGCTCAGTGAAAAACTATGAATATTCGACAAAGCGGATAACAATATAAGGTTTCTCTAAGGTTTCATGATGCTAAAAACAACAAGGAACTGTCAATTTAACAAAACAAAATTCATATCTACCTATACAAACCAATACGTCTGCATCCTAACGTACTAAAATTATTGATCTTTCTAAACATAGAGCGAAATGAATAAAGATATATCTACCTAATGTGCCGCCACGATTCCAACATATTGAGAAAAATAATATTGAAGTGCAAACATATGAATGCATGCAACAAACAGGAACGAAATTCTGACATCTTAACACTATACTAGTATAGATCAAAGACATGATAACGTAATGCTAGTGCGCTAGCACAATTCTAACATTTAACGTTATGTATACCAACACCGTACCACAATACGCTATTTGAATAACAATAATAATGATAATAATAATAATAATATTAATAATAATAATAATAACAATATGAGCAATACAGTATCAATAAACGTGCTACTCCACATTAACACGCTAAAAATACGAATGTCACACAAAACGTTCACTGACGTGTAATATAGAGGCAAAAAAAGTCTCGTTTTCCTGTAGAAAGCACGCAGTAGTCATCAGGATTAATTACGTTCCTTCCTATCAAAGAATGGAAAGGTAAATTTCGCTTCAGTGTTACATCCCGAGAATAATTGACTACCGGCTCGGGAGTTAATTGGACCTTAGACGGTAACTGTTCCAAAAATCTTGATATTGTCTGAAATAGAAGTTTTACTACATAACGAACCTAGTTACTGGTTATTTATAACGTTAATTAAAACGCCGTAATTTATAACACCAGTTGAGCGCACAGTGCGCGGTAAAAATCTAATTATTCCAAAATTTGAATTTGTAATCACATTAGCAAGAAATCATTTGTTAACAAACATCAGGAATTTTAGGAATTGTTTGTTCTTTGTGTAGTGATACTTGTTTTTAAAAATCCAATGCAAATTTTACGTAATAGACATATCACTTTCCACCTTTTATCTTGCTAGATTTTTCCCAACTTAAAAAACTGAACTTGCTTGAACTTTAAATATTTTATACAAAATTTCCGATTTTGATCCGGAAGATCGAGATTCCGAAGCGACGCGCACTCCGTGGCTGCAAAAAAACTGTAACGCGTAAAATTCTATTCGGTAGCGTATAATTTTATAGACTTGAGAAATGGTCTACCAAACTCCCAATATCCTTTTTGCGTGAGGCGCCGCAGGAACACTCACGCTCCCCACCTCCCAATTCTTTCAAGACAGCGTCTCTAATTCAAAAATGCCTCCGCATCTTTCCAATTCTTAGACTTTATTCATTTTTTTTACACCGGGAGTGGCAAGGTAATTTCCTGAGAAGCGCGGCCGCGGAGAAGGACGTGTTATCCTGCGGCGCCAAGAAACTAAACTCAAACTGAGTCTAGATCCTTCACTAAATCCCTGACTGAGTTCTTCATAAATTAAATTCAGGTCTTGATCCCATGCTTTACTTTTAAATTTATCCATCAAACTTCAAAGAGGGCCCGAAAATATTTATTTTGTCGCGTCAGTCGAAATATTCGTGCAAGCAAACTTTTCTTAATGTCGAACAAAACATTTTAAACCATCACGGAAAGCCTTCCGTTTGCATGAAATGCGAAAAGAAGTAGAATCCAAGCGTAATTTTTTGCGAATATTTTACTAACTTTGAACGAAGTCCGAGATTGAAGCCATGCCACTTCATTCGCAAAAAATAGAGTGTTGAAACTACAAATAATCAAAACAGTAATTTTATATCATCCAAACTTACGAATTCAAAATATTATTCAAGATTGTATTAACGACTTCATAAGCTTGCTACCCCAACTTTATCAAAGTTAACCAACAATTCCACGTCGTCTGACTCGGTTATTATTTTTGCTCCGCTTTAGAAGTTAATATCGGGAGGTTCGCTCTTAATTAGCCATGTTTTTCCTTGTGTTAGCAACAGAGCGGCCGAGACAGGCCTTAATATACTCGTGTTCCCTGAGTAATTATGCCCAATACGACTGCTTGCTCTCAAGTTCCGTAATGAAAAACCCACACGCTGCCTTCTCTCGTCTAATTCAGGAACTGCAAGGCCCGACAATTGACTAATTTGCTGAAGAATATAAATAATTTCTATATTAATTGTCAGATCGCTCGATTATCTCTGGGATGTCAAGCAATCGTCTCTGAAGTCCCGCACGGTCGCCAATAAATCGTTTTCAATCAAAACTACATGAAGTTCTCACAGAATTTACCTCGTAGTTTGGCGATTGATTGATTAATCGAATACGATTATTTTTAAGCATTCAGAGACAATCGACATGCCCGTTTCATCACCATCCCCAAACCACCCACCCGTGCCACAATCACCCCACAATTGCCCGTCCGTGTTGTACACAATCATCCCAACAATCACCCCCGTATTGTCCACAATCATCCCAACAATCATCCCGCATTTTGTATACAATCATCCCAACAATCACCTCCCGTGTTGTATACAATCACCCCAACATTCACCCCCCGTGTTGTACACAATCACCCCAACAATTACCCCCGTGTTAAACACAATCACCAGCAATCATTCCCGCTCGTCTTGCAGCTGTACCATCCTCGGTGCGAGATCACGGACACAGACCCCGACGCGGACTGCATCTTCGGGACGGCGGGGCGAGATTACCCCGTCCTGGACCAGGTCCCCCGTACGGCGTTCGGCTGCGGGACGCTGCTGCCGGGGATATATGCGGACATTGACGCTGCTTGTCAGGTGAGCGATGGTTGTTCATGATGATTAATGAATAATAATTGTGGTAATTTATTATTTATACGAGTATTAATTCACGATGATTAACGAATAATACTCGAGATAATTTATTATTTAGTGACGATCGAAAAGTGAGGGAAGATAATTAACGGCTAATCATTGTGATAATTTAGTATTTAGTGACGATCGAAAAGTGAGGGATGATAATTAACGACTAATCATTGTGATAATTTAGTATTAGTGACGATTGAAAGGTAAAGAATGATGATTGATGACTAATCACTGTGATATTTAATTATTCGGTGACTATCGATTTTTTTTGTAAATTAGTCGCTTAATGAAAATATCAGAGATGTTATAGATATAATATCAGAAAAAAGGTTCATTAACTTCTGTGACATAAAAATGCAAATCGACTTGAATGGAAACTAACTCACATTGAATAATGTATACCCTGCTAGTTACGAAATAAAGTCAATAACTATTGCTGCACAATCAGGTTATTCTCTATCGGTAGGTATAACACAGTAGAAATTCCTTCATTCAGCTACTCCGACATTCATTATTCATCCGTCGGCCAGCAAACATTCATCACGACACTTGCTTGAATCAGCCTGCCAACCGAATTGGGAATTCATCGAGCTCTAAGGCCTAACAGCATCAACATGCCGACAATTTTGCGCTCAAAGCTGAAAAGATTTAGTCAATAGCATCATTTCCTTTGCTGCATTGTCGTCTGACAAATTTTTGACGGGTGATCTTATTTCTTCTCAGCATTGCCGACTCCCTCGAGCCTCTCTATCGTTTTTAATTTGCATGTATAACCCATGAGCGATCAATCACAAATGGAACTCTGCGCATACGTCGAGCTCCCGACAAGTTCGATTCAATTTGATTCTTTAGTCGCATAGGGAGACTTCGTTGAAGCTGAGTCCCAGGCTTGAAGTGCACGTTATCGACTTCAATAATACTGCATTGGACATTGGAAATCTCTTTCTTTCTGTTTTAATATTATACGTCTGTTAGAATCCACAATTTTCGTAATGAATCCCTAATTTGGACACAGAAGGATATAATTATCAGGTAATAAAATCTCAAATGCACGTATTTTTCACTTTGTTTAAATATAGAGACCTCCAATTACAATTCAAATTACTTTTTCACACTTTAAACTGAATATTTTCCAATAATTTGACAACCCAAATCATGAAAAGCAGCTGTTCCTTCAACCAAAATCCTGCACGGGTCGCAGAGGCCGCGGCCTCGCAGAGAAACGTTTATGGAGGCCCAGTCTTGACCATCAATTCCAGTAGAACGGAGAGCTCAAATTCTCGAAGACACTATTATGAGGGAGGCTCATTTTCAGGCGGCGAGGACTGATATGGCCTGATGGCGAGATAAGGAATGGCTGGCAATGGCTGAACTGATTCTAAACTCTCTGGCCCTCATACCCTGTGCCTCTCATATCTACGTCGTAAGGAATGATTTGTTCACTTATTAAATACGACTAAAAAAAATGTGAAAAAGCTTCCAATTTTTATCAATTCCGAAGTTGAAGTTTATTTATTTAGCCTAAAGCCAACTCCAACATAAACTTTTAAACTGGAACACGGGAAAGGATTTTGAAACACTTTAATGACATCAACTGACTGCAACCAATCACTTAATTTGTCAGAATTTGAAGAAGCGTTAGTCAACGAAGCATAAATTAACACAACCATAATCATGGAATACGTTACGTTGACAAATAGGAAACTTGAGCACCTGGCAGCAATGCATGTTCTGCGCATTATCGACACTGGAGTAATACCAGCCTTCTTATTATAAGTTCATTTTTGGCTCAATATAAAAATTAGTACAATCGCGGAAATTCTCTTATGAATCTCCAATGAAACATAATATGCGAGTGAATATGAAACTTTATTAACAGTTAACGGGAAGGATATGATATAATACAACAAATTAGAACGTCAACTGCCCATGATTTGTATTCCTTTTCGACAAAAAAAAACAGCCATATCCTTTTTCTCATTAGAAATTTCTGTTACTAAAGCAATTAAATGTGATTAGGATAGGTTCAGAGCTGTGTAAACTTGGGATTCAAAAACAATGAAGTTCCCTAACAATGAATCCACGCAACACAAATAATTACCAGAAAGTTTTCCATCGTCTTTCATATTTCATAGCATCAGGGCCTAGTACATTGCAACCAGTCCTAGCCAACAAAAATGGCTTAGAATATTCTGTCGGCGTTCCAGTTACTGCGACAATCTTTTACAATTTTCTTCATTAAGCACAATAGCACGAATAGAGCTGATCTGGATACTTAATAGACTTGGCACGCGGTGTTGCAGGATCCAAGATATTGGGAAAGCCTTTTTTTCTTTGCTCGGCGGTTACATGGAATTCAAAAGTCATAAAAAGGGATCTGAGCTACCAGCATATCTCTGAAACTCTAAATTTAGTATATATAGTAGTGCCGTTATAGTAGTAAATAAGGCAATAAGAATACAGTTACATTAGAATGGAAGAATATTAAAGTTTAAAAACAGCAGGTGTATTGTAATTTATAAATGAAAAGTGAAACTCAGAGGGCAGTTCTCAGGAAATAGCCTACCTTTTCAATGTTAGTTATTCAAGAAAAATTAGTTTCTGAATATCTAATTGAGTCACGGATGATTGCAATCTATATTTTATGTAAGTTCGTGTAAAGTAACTATAAAATGATTATTAGAAACCTTAACTCATCGGGGACTATTTTCAACTTCTCCGCCAACGAACATTTTACTAGCGTGTCATGAATGCATGAATTAATGTCAGGTCGGCAAGCACGAGGCAGATTGGCTAAATGGACCCATGAGTTAGTGATGTTAAGTGAGGTGAAAACGAGTGTGTATAGCAGAGACTTTACGAGCTTTCGTTTCCTGAATGAGATGATGCCGAGGATCTCAAGCATCAGTGGGAAAAGGAAAAGATTTCCTGGGCTTTCGTCAGCGACTATAAAAACGACAAATGACTTCCGCTCCAACAATATTCCAGTGGCCATTCTTCCACGAAACGGTCCTCTGCGTAGGCTTGAGGTGAGGAGGAGATTCAGGCCGAATTTTTTGAAGATTAAAAAAAAAAACTTCCAGTTTAATTGCGATTTTTGTAGTTTTCAGCGGCGCACCATAGATTAATGTTACTTTAAAATTTAAGGATTGTAACTCATAATATAAAAATCTGAAAATGTAATATAATAATGTTAGAAAAGCTGTCCTGACAACTAACATACAAAAATCCCCTACGATAATTTAGCAGAAAATTTTTCCTATCAAATGATTATAAAATGACTTCTCGATTGACCTCAGGAGAAACACACATCAACCAACGCAATATGCTTCTTAAGATTCATTACTCATGAAGAAATATTCCAGCAAATTCAAAAGTGAAAAAATGAAATGAAAAATCTCGGTACGGATTTTTCAAATCCGTACCGAGAAATTAAAAGTGGTTCTAGAATTAACTCACATTTCAGCAATCATTATTATTATCATTAACTCATTGGATCATCAATCAAAAACATAATAAGCGTTCAAATAAATATTTCAGTAGTATCCTGGGTACGAACTGGGTGCAAATGCCAGGCTACGTTGTAGGGGGTTAAGATGTGAGGTCCGGATAGCACTGGCGAGTAATTGTCGCACGGCTTCCGGAGAATTGGGTGAATAGGATTGTAGGTGAGTGGGAGTGGGGTGATTATGAGTGGGAGTGGGGTGATTGTGAGTGGGATTGAGTGGGAGTGGGGTGATTATGAGTGGGAGTGAGTGGGAGTGAGTGTGGGCCATGGCGGTCACCGGAGATGAAGTTGGGCTAGTTGGGGTGAGTACGGGGTGATGTCTCACGATGAGACAACGATAAACAGTTTATACAAAGAAAGAATGGTATATACGGGACAGAAATTGTTTCCAAGATATTTAATATCGAAGTATTTCAATCTATATTGGAAAGACAATATTACGTTGACTCTTGAAAACCCAGCTAAACTAAACTAAATAAAAGCTCGGATCTAAATTAATTAATGACGGGAATTAGCCAATTTTACATAAGTTTGTGGCGAAAATCTTGTACATTTTTCTGATCTCCCATTAGAGAGCCTCCACTTGATGTTAGTTAGAATAAATTTATAGTAGTGGACAAATAACGTCACTATTTACAAAAGAAGTTATGAACAATTTATGTCATTATTTTCAAACAAGTAATTGACAGCTTATTTACAGTCCAACTCATGACCACTTACTTTATTATTCAAAAATGAAATGACTTATAGCTACGTGGTTACGCAGCAATATCGTGAACGAGTTACATACATACGTAGAACAGCGCCCAACATCGACGCTCCGAGGCAGAAATGAACTAATGAAAGGAAGTGGGAGCAGCGTTGCGTCAGAAGCTGGAGGTCGCGAGTGTTGGGTGATGTCAGGGAGATCATGAGTGTTACAAATGAGATCATGAGTGTTGGGTGATGCAGCTGAGGTCATGAGTGTTGGGTGATGCAGCTGAGGTCACGAGTGTTGGGCGATGCAGCTGAGGTCACGAGTGTTGGGTGATGCAGCTGAGGTCACGAGTGTTGGGTGTTGCAAGTGAAGTCGTGAGTGTTGAAGGATGCAGCTGAGGTCATGAGTGTTGGGTGATGTCAGTGAGATCACGAGTGTTGGGTGATGTCAGTGAGGTCATGAGTGTTGGGTGATGCAAGTGAGGTCACGAGTGCTGGGTGATGCAGGTGAGGTCACGAGTGTTGAATGATGCAGGTGAGGTCACGAGTGTTGGGTGATGCAGCTGAGGTCACGAGTGTTGGGTGATGCAGCTGAGGTCACGACTTTCCCACGCATGTGCAGTTCAAATTTCCCACAAGTCCGTTGTCTTTTAACGCACGTATATTTTTAACTGACGGAGCTATTTATTATTGAAAAATTACAACATGCAATATCTAACAACTTCTGTTATACAGCGACAGTTAATATTCGTACATATGACATGAACACAGACGCATTAAAACTATATTTACTCGTGCGCATTCGTTGTGAAGAAAATTCAATTAATACCTACACCCACGTAGGAAATGTAATTATTATCTACTCCCACGTAGGAAATCTTTTTCATTATTACACAGGGGTTAATTAAACCGCTCGCGGGAATAATGCACGTTTTTCATTCACCTTTTAAATCATGTGCATTGATCTTTTACATAAATGACGATTAGATTACGATTCGCCGTTTCAAACTATCAACTTCTTATAATTGTATATAATTATTATTCTTCTTATAATTCTTTTTATAATTCTTCTTCTAATTCTTTTTCCTAATTCTTCTTATATTTATGATAATTCAATATCTGTCCTTTGTGTTTCATGAAAAGGCTCTGCCGCCATGACAGTTGCTGCAGGTGTGAGAAATGAAAATCTTTATTCGAACATCACATCACACACATTGACACACATTGCACATCATTAAACATTGACTTACAAGCTGATATGAAACAAGCTCAGCTAATGATCTCGACTATTATCACAATGAGTTATGTGAAGGACAACAATAACAACCGATTCATATTCCTTGCCTCTTACCGTTTTGCAATTCGTCATGACTCCGGGGCTGGCATAATTCAAATCAAGACATTTTTACGACACGGTGGCTATCGTGTATAAGCATTCGTATAGCCTCATGTATATGTTAAAAGCACCAGGTCTCAAACGAAAGGAAAACAGATGAAAAAGTATACAATCATTTTACAATTTGTGATATATCGTTATTCCATGCAAGGCACTTTTTAAGTAAAATTACAGTAATGTAATAGATTTTCAGGAAACTTTCATCATATCTCTTATGATAATGATATTGATACATGTTCGTATTTACCCAACAGGTCTACCACTTCTGCCTGCACGACGGCAACAAGTTCTCGTTCTTATGTCCTAACGGCACAATGTTCAACCAAGCTTACTTCGTGTGCGACCTTTGGTTCAACGTTGACTGCCCGCGGTCCAAAGAATTCTACGCGCTTAACGAAAATATCTACAGAAATCCAAATCTTCCAGGACCTAAAGAAAATACATATTCATAAAAGTTTACTTCAAGTTTAAAGTATTTATACTAGTTTTTATAATTACTTAGGTAATTAAATCAAAGAACATTTGGGACTTTATAACAGTTCAATAGAACAAATTAAATTTGGGAATTTAATTTTATCTGTTGGATGTTTGCAATAAATGTACTTTGACGAAGTCTACATTTTGTAACTGTAGAAACATGAGCCTGAATCAGGCAGTTAGAGGCTGCGCCGCGACATAAAAAGTAACAATTAGCAACAATCTTCATGCCTGCCAATTTTAAAATGCAAGACAAATTTGTAAGTTATTTACTCTCGTACAAATAATCTGAAAAATTATGTGACTGGCCTTGCGTGACTTTTCTGGAAAATTTCATAAATGTGATTTAAGTTCATGAGCGTTTCTGTTTTTTTATTCTATTTTCACCTATAGGATTCATCGAAGCAATTCAAAAAATGCCGCGGTAAAAACATCAGTCTATGATAGCCTCAAAGTCATCAAGCGTTGATAATATATACGTTGAATCATAAGAAAAAATATAACTTAATGATTTAATGCAAAAAATACTTCGAGTTAAGAGTTCAAGCAATATTTTAGTTCATCAACTAAGTAAACTTGGTCCGTTACAACCTGTAATTATAAGCATGGCCAAAGGTGGTTCATATTACCCTTCATTTTTAAGTGATGAATAAGAGGCCAGAGTTCTTGATCCTCAGTGAAAGAACTCTCTCGTTAAGATAATATTATTCCAGAGAAAACATTTTCGCTACAATAAGTTTATTTTAATAGGTTCTTAACAATTATATGGGAAAGAATATCTTTATTTTATAAATTTATTTTCTCGAGATCTCATGAATTATCTGTGAGAAAAATTCTTCGTTGTGATATGTTTGTTAGTTTGTTATTTGCAAAACAACATTTTTGGGTTAGAAATGGTGATTTTCTTGAGTTCTCAATAATGATCTGTAAAGAAAATTTTAAGTTACAATTATTTAATTTTCTCGAATTGTCAGGAATTATATATGAAAGAACATGTTCTTTAAGATCAGTTAATTTCGTTGATTTCTCAATGTTGATCTCTAAAGAACAACTTCATTAAAATAATTATATTTCATCTAGGACCACAAAGCTATATGTAAATAAACTCATACATATAGGTAACACATTTATTTTCTTGTTGTGAAAACTCAAGTGAGAGCCCTAGCGAGAATTTTCCTAGTATATATAACATAACCTTAATAAATTACAACATTCCGAACAATTTTAAGTTAAGAGTTAAAAATGTAGATATTTCTTTATTATGATTAGTGGATGTTTAGATCTTTGTATTTAAATGTTCACTTTCTTATGAAACGTTTTTTATCCCCCCAGGTTCTGAATCAAACAGGTTATTAAATTAATAATCCACCCTCTCTTTATTATTCATCAGTATCAAGGGACCATTGTTTACGCCAAATTTATATTTAAATTTTTGAGCTCCCTTCCAGCTCATGCATCCGCCTTAGAGCCACCAGAAGTACATAGGTCTTGTCTCACAATATATTTACTCTAGGAAGTGGACGCAAGCCTGGTAAGTTTTTCCCTTTCTGTTGAGACGGAAGTGTCCATTTCATTAGAGTTTAGCTAAAAGTTCTTCACCGTAAATCCATCGACCTTTTACAGTCATGCGGACGTTGCTTAAACTTCAGGCTATCACTGTCCTGTAGAAACCTATCAGCCAAAATGTGTGTTGTGTTTTGAAAAAGTTTGGAGGACTCAGTCTAGGTCATCTGCCAGAAGAAGCTGAGATGGGCGCGGAAGCTTCCTTCAAGTCCAATCTATTGTAGTTTCACACATCAATGTTCGTCGTTTTCTGAAGAAAGAAAAACGTGAACGACGACTAAAGTAAAGTGAGTAAGCCGTTACTTCTTTTGTGAGTTTCTTTTCTTTCATCTCTGAAACCTTTTATAAAATTTGGCCTAATGATTATTTTCGATGATTCAACCAAAAAAATGTTTGCTGAATCAGTCTAAACACGATAAGTGTGTAATTAAGAAATATTTTCGAATTGCTTCAAAAAACAAAAATGTTAATTGTGTATTTTTTTAATCTCGAAGGACATCCCATCGCATCACGACTCTATTGACCCTTTTGAAAAATTGAATTCCTAGTCTAAACATAAAATAATTTTTCGACGCAGCAATCATCCTCGTCAAACATAGATATTTCTTAAATTTAATGGTGTAGCCGTAGTGCATCTCCATCGATGACTCGTACGAAGAAACTAAAATTTGTATCTTAGATTTTCTAAATTAAAGAATTCTGCTGCAAATTTCACAAAATTATATCATAAATTCGGGCTTGGGATTCATTTTCAGATGATCGTCGACTTATTGTTCGTGTTTCGACGTAAGTTTTTAAAAAAGTAGGTATGAACCAAAATGAGATGCATTGGTTAAGAACTGGCGTAGGTATCTCGGTTTATTTCTCACCATTTAACAACAGTCGGTCGCGGTACTATAATCACGAAAAGTTGATAGCACTTCGGAACATGATACTTATAACCTTAAACTTCAGCTAATAATTTCTTACATGTTCACGGTAGATCTTCTCCAAAGAACCTCAATTACACACCTAATTTTTTTTTTTGTGGTGATTTAACTGATTTTCACGTTGCAAATAAGTCATGAACAAGTCACGAATTTAAACGTTACCTCCATTACATGGCAAGTCCTATTTCGCTCAAACACTTGTTCAATCTCTTCGTGTGTCTTCTTGTTGTTTTCTTAACCTCGTGTTGTCTTCGACCTTCAAATCTCATGTTTATTTCAACAGCAACCGTCAAAAAGAATAGACACGTTATCAGTTATTCTTTGCGTGAAGTTTACGACTTTTGAAAAATTTCTAGCGTTTGGCGTACGAGCATCATAGGCCTCTGGGGGAAAAATTGCGTAAGGAAGATTTTAGCAGCAGCAGCGCAGGAAGCCATACGTTACGGATAATTACACCTGACAGTTACAACCATGGTTGAACTAGTATAAGGTTGACCCATGAGATGCTCATTTTTGCGGATGTAGTGTTTTTCGCCTGTGACGTCACTGATTTCAGTGACGTCACGGGCGTCAACCAATCACCGAAATGCGATCAAACCAGTCAACCAATCAGTCGTGAGAATGACAGGATTGTTAACGTTTCTCGATCTACGTGACGTAACAAGAAAGCTGAACTGAAAGACGGAACTTCTTGTGGGTCAACCTTATATAGTTCAACCATGGTTACAACAGCTCTATCAAACGAATCGTGTATTCTTCTGCGCTCGCAAACGGAAGATGGAAAATCCGCACGACCGTCCCTTTTCGTTGATTGAAGTAATCGGGAGACGATTCACTCTAAAATGGAAGAACTAGGAGCGTGCTGAACTAAACTAGTAAAAGGGCGGTGAACCGATTCATTAAGTGAAATAATCTCGGATTGGTCACGCTAATATGTCGAAAGGTAGTCATTTCAATTGGTGCAGCTGCTCAGGTTCCAACAACCTAAATCACAAATTCGGATAAATCATAAAAATTGCCTAATCATAATTACGAATAATCATCGAATTTTGCGCTTACAGCGTCCCATCCGTTTTGACCAAGCAAATGTAAAGACCACCAAGTTAATTCAGTACAAATTATACTCCGTTAATCATCTCATCCCGGAAGAAATCTCCCCCAATTCTACACATGAAAAGGATAAGTAAACAGTCAATTATGAAACGCCATTAATTACTTCCTGTGAAAATGAGACATTAAACAACATTCATGAATCTAATTTGTGCCTCTAAGTAATTTCAGCTGCTCAAGTAATGGTAGTAACGAAAAGATCAGTTAATTGTACTACAGGAAGCCAGCCATTCAACCAACAGAACACCGCAAAAACCATTGGCAGCATTGATAGTATTACTTACAGCAATGACGAACGGGTCTCAAAGTCCTTAGTAAATGCGCACAAACATGGAAATAGTGGAAGTCATCTATGCGTCTGTTCTAAGTCATCTGTTCAACGAACGAAAATGTGTAGATTACCGCCAATTAATTCAGAGCTCGGTAGCAAAATGGATTGATTAATTTGACCAAAATGCTTACGAAAAGCATAGAGTATTCATCGCTACACTCATAGAACAGAGAATCATTCACAGTTGCGATCAGTGAATCAAATTCGTTCCATAAATCTAGGCTTACTGTCAGATGGCGGTAACAAAGAAAACGGAAAGCAATACGTGCACTTCAGAAAAAAAAATCATAGGATAAGTTGAACTAGATGAAGCAACGCAAATACTGCATCGCAAAAAAAAAGTTTCAGGACGAGCACAGCTCAACAATTCTGGGCATCAGAGAACACTTCTACAGAAGGACGACGTCATCGTCCTCGCGTTGAGTCCTCGGTTTCTTAAGAGGCTGATCGCTGTCCTGGTTGGAGGTTTTCCTCTTCTTCGCAGAGGGAGACGACTCGTCGGCCTCCACCATTTGGATATCTTCATCGCTGTCACCTGCTGCAAAAATTGCTAGAATTTATCATCTATTAGCGTAATTAATATACTCACGCCTGTTGATAGTCTTTTTATGGGGGTGAGCGAACCGATGTTTAGCTCAATCGTAAATTATTATAGCATTAACCTTGCGACTATGTAGAACTCATCCTTAAATCAATTTTTATAACTTAAGATAAACCTTAGTTTTCAGCAATTTATTCACTTCTGCGCATGCGTGTTTTCATTTTGTTTTGTTCATTTAAATTGCTCATTAGTGCTTTATAGTTCGATTGTTCAAAAGCTAACAATACTGGCTTTACGCGTGAAGTTTAACTCGGCAGGCTAGCTGCCTCCGTGGGGCTTCTGCGCTCAATTTATTTAAACCTTAGAGCTCGAATTTAACTTGGCATACATTTACAGTTTATGTACCAGCACATTCAAGTACCAGCAAACATACCTTATATTTATTTTATTTTCATAGTTCCCTATTAAAACTCTTAAATTCCCTTCAAAAATAGCAGAAGGTATGCATTTAATTCATTGTTCTGATTTTGCTGTTATATTCTAATACATGGCAATATAAAAAGAAGCAATTATTAGATAGAATTTCTAAACTGTTCATTCGTCATTGCCATTCACGCACCCCAACCTAACACCTTGGATTTCATCCATCGGCTGCTTGATATTAATTCCTTTGAATTACCCACGTCAGAATAATCTAATCAGAAAACACAGTTCCTTATATATTCGAATAATCTCATACCTACTAAACCCCTTTTTTCAGTGCCAATGTTGATGTTGGCCAATTTGCTAGCAGTTTATTCCACTTCCGTCGCTTATTAAATTTATTCCTTCCGTCCTTTAATAGTTTCATAGTTTTAATTGGCTACTTTCATTTCCTACTGTACAGAAATAAATAATAAATTCACAACCTATAAACTGAATAGTTAGCAGCCGGTAATCGATTGAAACCTTGCTTGGCCTTTTTAAGTACAGAATTACTCCATCACTGTAGATTCTGATACCAGCAACAGGCAATTGATGAACTAAAGACTAGTTCGTATCTGCATTTAACCTCCACAATAGCTCGATATAAATTCTAGCCTCAATGTACGAAGAAATCAGAAACGTGTTTTTGAAAATGAAAACCAAAAATCTTACCTTGGCCATCAGCGGCGGTGGCGGCAGGAGTTTCCGCAGAGGCAGAGTCTTGAATCTTCTTGAGCTGCTCAGCATCCGCCACAACTCGGAACTCCGAGCCATCGTCCAGAGAGTCGCTGCATAGTTAAGTAAATATTTTTCACTTAATTGGCAACTCCATATATTGACATTCATTCTACATTAAACGAAGTAAACTGTTAAGGAAAGTAAACACGTCAATGTCGAGACACATGCAATAGAAATATATTTTATTTCCACAAACTAACAGGTTTCAGAAGATGTTACAAAAAGTCAATAGGTATTCTTAATCAACATACAGTGGGGGGAAATAAATATTCGTACACTTGAAAAACCGTATTTTAATGTATGTAAGTACACAAACTTAACAGGAAAAGTGATTTAAATTATGTATTAAACAAACGCGAAGCTAAGCTAAGAAAAACGTGTTAAAAATACTGACATTTCACATCAAAGCGCGTTTTCTGAGGGATGCCGAAGACATGAGCTCGGATGTTTGCACAAGCAGTCACGAAGTCCATTGAACTCTGATCGTCCTTGTCCCACACCAGGTGATCACCAGAAGGCAGCGCCTGCAAAACGAGACGGTGAAGTTATGTTTGTGGTGAACAGTAAAACTGGTGACCCATGAGTGTTTTTCTAGTGTCAAATGAATATCCCAATGAACATGAACGATGAAATTCATGCAAGACCTGATCTGCAATCCGAGACCGATAAAATTATAACATGTCGACATTCAAACGAAACGGTGAGGTGACGTTCAAGGTGAACATTGAAAATAGAAGCCCATGAAATTTATGCAAGACTTGATCTACTATCTGGCTACTGCTAATACACGTTGGCATTCAAGATAGACAGGAACCCACTCCAGCAATACTTACTGTGAGACATAATACGCGACGATTGCAAATGCATACGCGTTGCCTAAACGTCTCTTTCCAGGGTTTGAGATAGAGGATTTCAGAGCCAAGAATCCAACTGATCTCACCTGGAATCGTTTACTGCACTCAGCAGTTGCAGTAGATAGCACCTGCAGGCACTGAGGAAGCGTCCACAACACCTGATCTTTAATAACACCGTCGCTGCTGTCTTCACTCTCTGAAGAAGAAATTCAAATGCATCTGTATACTTTTGTTTCAGGCATAAATACATTTTTATCAGTTAAATACGGTGTTCCAAACAAACATTTATGGAATAATTTCATAGAGATAACGCAGTCAAAATCATTAATTTAACTACAAAATTCAGTGAAGTTGTTTTATACTTTGAGTGGTTGCAGCACTTCAACGTTTGTGTTTCCAATTTAAAGTCAGTCAGTTCATAAAATTTAACTAAGTTTGCTTTCTTGCTTCGAGAGAATTGAGGTTGTCACTCAAGTTTTCATCGGCACGTTTCAAACTTAATCTGACTTCACAAAACCACATTGCCATTTTACATTTTGTTCTCATAAAATAAAAACCAAGTTCCGTAATATCAAATATAGTTTCAATTTCGTAACTCCAGCAACCAATCACTGATAGCTTTTCAAGCTAAACCCACCAATCACAGACGACAGATCAGCTCGCTTTGTAAGCGAGTTTTGAAAGTACAGCCCAAATCATAAAACCAAGTTCCGTAATATCAAATATAGTTTCAATTTCGTAACTCCAGTAACCAATCACTGATAGCTTTTCAAGCTAAACCCACCAATCACAGACGACAGATCAGCTCGCTTTGTAAGTGACTTTTGAAAGTACAGCCCAAATCATAAACTCATAAATACTCGTTAACAAGCAATATGAAGACAAATTCTATAAAATAACAAATACTGATATCTCACCTTCGTTTTGCTGAGCCATTATGGTCTCCCAAGTAAGAGGAGTTGGCTTGCGTCTTTTGCTCCATAATTTGTCCATTGACAACAAATATACGATATCATCGTGGAACAATTTACTGAACAGTTTCTGCACACAAGAGAAAATATTCAAGACATCAAAATATTAACTCAAAGTGGAATCAAATTTCGTTTTTTTACCATTGACCTATTCCAAGTACCAAAATACTCCCTAACAGTACACTTATAATCAATCCTCATTATTAACTAGAATCTAAGATGAACATATTAACAGAATTTCCACGTATTTCACAAGACAGGACTTCAAATAAGCCAAAATGTCACATGATGGGACTTCAACATGAGAATTACGGATTTAAATAACCAAAGTTGGAATCAATCATGATATCGATGGCCTATGTTTCACCTGGGGGTCATAGTTGTGGCTCTGAGCCCAAGTTCTAGTTGAAGTTCTTTCAACGTTTCCAGCAGCATTGGCAGCAGGTAAGCTCCCATTACCGTTGGTGGTGGAGTCTTTGGCTGTGCTTTGGCTTGAAGATCCATTCTGGCTAGTGCTATCACCCTGAAATAAGTTGGTATTATTCAGTAAAACACACATCGGAATGAACTTGCCATAATGCAAATAATGCATAAATTACAAGCTACAACATCATGCTCATCAGCATCACCTTGAAGGCCACATACGCTACGCGATTCTTTCATATCTACAGTAATAATAAAATAAAATGTGATATTAAAATTCATACGAACCTCCATATGTTCTGTACAAAAACTGTGCAAATTTCAATTTAATTCATACGATTAATTGAACCAAGGGGCACATGATGGCAATAAGCCTGGCCGCGGCTCGAGCTCTAACCTGTGTCTGGTCCCGCAATTCAGGGTCTGCAGAATCTGGAGAAACGTCTTCATCAGGATCTCCCTCACCGAAGAGCTGACTAAATATACAAAAAAAAAACGTGACAATTGAGATTAGAGGCTTGTTAAAGTTCCATTAGGATTATGACAAACTATAGGTACAGAACTGCACATGGAGAATTGTAGATACAAAACCATGCATTTCACACTAGTCCTGAGAAACAAGATCAATTTGAGGAAAATAAGAAATTTAGGCAAAAAGATTAACAGGATATTACATATTAGTTTAGACCAAATATAAGGTAAAATGGTGAATTAAGAAATTTAAACCTATTTCCGCTTCATGTTTATTCAACATCAAACATATGCTTTAAAGCATTGTATGTTATGCACTTGCCTTTATCAATTTTCTGCTAAAAGTTGAAGAACTATGAAAAAAGCTCCACAAAAATGTTCACTTTACAATGGTGTAAAACCAGGGACATGTTAGATAATGAACAAGTTACTCACTTGAAAAGATGTTTAGCCCAGACAATGCAGTGAATGGGTTCTGAGGGAGTGTTCCGAATGGTGCAGCCAGGGAAGGTTTTAGCAGCAGCTTTAGGCTGGCATTCGTAGCATTCTGTTGAACCTTTGCGGATTACCTGCAACAAAATCATAACAGTGAATATTTTACTAAAGGCAGCATAACCTAAAAAGGCAATTATATAATTCTTTCCAGGCAAGCTTGACATGCAAGTATTGCAGAATTACAGTTCTAGACGAGATTATAAATGGCACATGTATGCATACGAGCGAGCTACATAAAAGTATTACATATTTATATAAAAATACAAGAATTTCAATGAGGGTGAAAGCAAATTAGGTTTAATTTTATTTTACTATGTTTGGTGTTGAGAATTACAAAGCCCATGTAAAACAATCAATATTTCTATTGCAGTAGCTATAGAACTTGTGACAGAAACAAAGTCTTCAATTCACCAATAATGATGTAAAATTTTTAAAAGAATTTCCACAATATGAATGTATTGATGACATACCGTAACCTGTCCCAGGTAACCAGCAGATCCACTCTCAATCAAAGTGATATCAGCAGCTAAGCACATTCTGTTGACATGGTTACGAGCCGCTCTGTTGTCCAGAGCATTCATGACCACACTGAACTTCTGGTAGAAAGTTACACCGTAGTCAGGGCTGCAAAAAATTATACTGTGCATGAGTATGAAAAAATTAAAACTATTCAAGACATAGAATAATTAACAGAAAAACATAGTTTTACAAAGCTAAAGAAGGTTATGTCTTGTCTCAACTTCACAAAAATTACTCTTAAATTAAATATTAGTTCAGAAAATTTTTCTACGCAACTTGGCTATGGTACGTACTCAACTGCTTGATTTCAAAACTAGGTCTTAACAGCAACATTCGTGAATTAAAATTGATAGCAACATTACCTTGCAATATGAGCAGATCAAGCATAAATTTCATAAGCTAACTGATGAAAAACTTGGCACACAGAGTATGAAAATTAAAGACAAAACTTTTGAGCAAAATCATTTGAAACAAATAAAGTGTCTGAGAACCCACCTCATGATACTGTCATGGTGAGCAACAATGTTGGCTTGTGGACAGAATTGCAGAGCCGATTCTCTAGCAACTTGAGATTTACTCCGACCAACATGTTGCTTGTGGAACAAAAACTGCCGGTTCAAGTTGCTGACATCAATTGTATCAAGATCAATCTGCAAGAAAAAAAAATAATTTAATTTGACATCTAGATACAAGGTAATGATACAGTATTAATATTAAATTCAATACTCAATGCAACACAACAAAATCTAGAATTATTTCAAAGTCTCGTGTGCATAAATATAAAAGCATACACCTACAGAAGAGGCTCCAAAATGTCATGTAGTGAACTAAACCCATGTATAATTTTTTTATTTTGATAAGTTTAATTAATGCCGTTTATTCAACTTTCTATCCAGACTGGCAAAACTGTGTGGAAAAGAAAGCCAAAGTACCTTGCTAAAATTTTCAGTATGCCTGTAGCTTTCACATGACTTCTCTCAACCACCCATTTTCATTTAGAATTCCTAGCAGGCATTGAAAAAAGCACTTTTTCATGTGTGAAAGTGTGAAAAAAATGTGCATGATATTGTGGTCTTGATGAAAAAGAATGCTAATTAATATTTCACAACTAAAAATAAGTAATAGCAGTTTATAATAGTGTGCTGAGAGTGCCAATATTGGTAAGGCAGTGGGTGGACATAATGTGGCATTGAGCCTCCTGTTACAATAGAGAATGGGTACTTGCTAACATATTTTGGATCTAATACCATGCTACTCCCTGGCCCAACTAGAAAAATACACAACGTCAAACAGGGTAATAAGCGATTTTTTTCATTTTTTGTTGATAACTTTTTACCATGAAACATTTCATGAACAAGTTTGGGCTCATTTTAAAGGTCTTAGCAAGGGTTATTGTACAGCATCTCTGAATAAATTCCATATTCTATTCGTAAGGTGCCATAGGCAAACAAAAGCATCACAAATTACCTCTGGGACAGGAGCAACTTGGGACACTTGAAATAAAATTTAATTTTAAAAGTTTTAGTTTAGTTTAGTGGCCAAATGTTTACTAGCGCTTCAGCTATTTAGCTATCTCGCACCGAAAGTCAAGATGAACATCACCATAGAGGTGGAAGGTCTCAATTATTCATCACCCACAGGGGCGGAAGGTCTCAGATGTCCAGCCCGCTGAAGCTGGCTCGAAAGAAGCAGCGTTAGCATCTCAAAGAGACGAAGTGACAAGGAGGGACNCCCCAACACTCACAGCAAACCTGCAGCTGCAACACTCACAGCAAACCTGCAGTCGACGATGAAGAGCAGCACGTCCGACTTGTCCATGACCCGCCACAGCTGGCGCCAGGTCTCCGTGTTCTGCTCGTACAGGTTCAGGTCGCGGTCACCGAATTTCTCCTGCGTCTCCTCAGCGAACAACCGCACGCTGCGGGCCTCGTGCATCTCCAGCGTCTCTTTGGTCATCTTCTGGTAGCCTGTAGAGGGTAAATGCGGCATGAAATCAGCATTTACAGCATGAAATGCATTTACAGCAATACAGCACGAAGTAATACAGTATTAAGTAAATGAAGCATGAAATGAATGCAGCATGACATGAATGCAGCATGAAAAAAATGAGTCATGAAGTAATGCAGCATGAAATGAATGCAGAATGAAAGACATAAATGAGACAGACTTCTTCAGCATGTGCATGATATTGGTGCACATGTGCCCTAAAATTTAAATAAATGCAGTGAACGCGTGTCCTAGGGTTGAAGGCAGTAAATGCTGTCTCTTATACACATCTAGATGTGTATAAGAGACAGCCTAAAATTTGTCATTTGCATATGTAACTAGAAGAGTTCTACTACAATGCATCAAAACCTGGAGTTATTTAACCAAAAAATAAAAAAATTGGAGGGGGTGCTCTGACTGGCTTTAAATAATAGCTTTTTTTCCTGGGTCACATTTTTAATTTTTTAACCTATTAGATATGCAAACTTTTTCAATCTTTCTATTGTGTTATGTAGCCTCAGTATTAGGCCTTTAATGCCCATCAACAAAATTTTTCCATGTCAAATAGTTTTTGAGTTGTGGGGGTTTTTGTTAAAAAAACGAAAAGTGGTCTTTGTTACCCAGCTGGTCTCCATACCCAGGATGGTGCCGTTTTCCGTGGATTAATCCGGCGTAAACGAGGCTCCAAGCCCTTCTACTGGAGTACAATGCGGCATACAAAGAGCTAAAATAACATTATTGGCGCACACGGCCGGTGTACGTCCGCATCTGGCTTGTCCCGACGTACCGTACGTCCGCATCTGGCTTGTCTTGGCGTACGTCCGCATCTGGGTGATCTAGCTTGTCCCGACGTACGTCCTCATCTGGTTTTGAGCATTTTGGTGCATACCAATGCGTTTTANCGTTGTAGGAGAGATAGTTACAGGAGGCGCATCATTGGAAGAGTTCATTTCAGTTTTCATAAAGTTTGTTTTCGTCCGATACGCTGAGCAGGCACCCAATGGCCTCCAACAAGGGGATCCCTACTGTCGGGCACACGCAGTCCCGGCGGGACCACTCTTACGCTCGGATATAGCCCCGGTTATCCAGGGCCCAGCGGGTTATGCGCTTGACTAGCGTTGCAAGACGGGGCGCCACTCCATCCGCGCGGCGTTTAAACAGCCCCCCGCCAGCCCAGGAGTCCCTCAGCTAACCCTCGCCGTTAGTGACTATTAAAGCTGGCGGGTCGGGTCTAAGTCCCCGCCATTGTTTTGTACGAATACTTTTTTCACCCGAAAAGTGAACATGTTGCATTGTTTTTTGTTGCATTGAGATTTAATTTCTTTTGATAGTATTTTTGAATACTATGCGTCTCTATACATAATTTCAATCACTTTTCCTGTTAAGTTTGTGTACTTACATACATTAAAATACGATTTTTCAAGTGTACGAATATTTATTTCCCCCCACTGTAAAATGATGGCAGGATAGTCTTAGATTTAACATCATAGCTCATACGTCAGACAGTTCGCTACACTAATATACAGCATCTCACCAATGCAAGACGTTGAGGGCGAGCGTGTAGTTCTGCAAGAAGTCGTCGCAGTTCAGTCGAGTGCCGTCCACCACACTGAAATCCTGTAGGTGAACACCGTATGAAGTGAAAATAGCAGTGTATTAATGAACATTAAGCAATATATAGAAAACATAGCAACATATGGCAATCATGCAGCAACACATGACAATCATGTAGCAACATATGGCGAACACGTAGCAAATTTAGGACATGTAGCAAAACTGCAGAATACTCATATGTGATAAAATTATGCCTAAAGAACGTAATGGGGATAAACATTGCTAAATGCAGTCTAAGATTTCTATGCTTTGTTAATGAAACGAGCTAGCCGTATAAGAGGCTACGTATTACGATGGTATTCATTAACGCTACTGTCACCACTGAATGCTTGAAGCAATCAGGGTCAATAATTTCATGAAGAGGTCCGTAGCTTCTACAGGTTTGGAGCGACGTGAACAGATGACGCTCCCCAACCTTGACAGTTGGGGAGCCTTTAAAGTTACAGTCAGAATACAATCTAGTAGACTAACCTTGAGAGTTTTAGGGAGATTATGAGACGTCTCGCCAGGCTCAGAGGAAATCAGGATAGTTCCCTTGCCATCAGCAACTTCGACATCGGGAGCGACCATATTGAAAGTGCCTTTCAAGATTTTTTCTTCTAGCACCGCGAGCGTCGTGGTAGCCGTGTTGAGCATGACGTTCACTTCGTTCTTGGCGCTGCACACGTAGCACGTAGGCACTGGCTTCTCCAGTCGACATGGGACCAGGATGCGGCCTCGAGGATTAGGTAAGCGATTCAAGTAAACCTGCACATGAAAACAAGTGATTACTAAGGGAGTTTGGTACACGAACAAGAATTTATTATAACCATGGTCTTTGGAATTGATTAATGTGATCACGGTGCTGCAAAAAAAAAACAGGCGCCGATTTCATTGATTGACAGTAGATGAAAATCAGGACAGAGACTCCCCACTAACAAAGCAGATACGAGGAAAGGGCAGAATCTTTCAAATGAGATCATTGATATTTTAGTAGAATTAAGGTATTCCTTGAAGAGCAACTCACTGTGCGGCAATCATCAAATCTATTGTCGAGGACTTTGATGGCCTCTAGGACGAGCAGGCCCGCGATGATGGCGTTAGTGGTCGCTATCGCGGGTATGATGTTGCCCGCCATTGCTGCAAAATTATGCGCAGTCGTTAGTGTCAGTGCATATATTAAACAAATTTCCATTGGATACATAAAAACAAAGATACGCCCTCAAATTTTGCCTAATTAATTCATAATAACAACGTGACAATCAGTACAATTTTTGATAGGTCACCACGATAAATAGAATTTGCAAGCAATCCTTTCGGCAATTATGATTCTAGGGCTTTGGCATCTTAGGCCCAGCCTTCAACATGTTTTGCATGAACAATTGCAATGTTTAATAACATTCATTTCATTAAAGCTTGTCAAAATTTCTGAAAATGATCCTCGCAAATCCTATAACCAGTATAAATAAAATACTTAAAAAAAACTTTTTAAAAAACCACGTTTTTCTTGTGGACTAAAAAGTAGAAAATAAATTATTGTTCGCCCCAAAAAAACGTGTGCCGGGCAGATTTATGATTAAAGCGAAAAGCACACAACACTTAAATTTTGGAAATTTGATGGTGAACGTACAGCCCGACTCACGTTTTTTTGGGGCGAACAATTGATCATTAGGCATCGGCCACTTTGATCACAGAGAGCGCTCATCAGTGTTGATCATTGGGCATCGGCTAAACCGATCGTAAATCGCGCGCGCTTGTGTCGATCATTAGGCATCTTCCACTTTGATCGCAAAGAGCATGCTTCTGTGTTGATCATTGGGCATCGGCTAAACCGATCGTAAATCGCGCGCGCTTGTGTCGATCATTAGGCATCTTCCACTTTGATCGCAAAGAGCACGCATCAGTATTGATCATTGGGCATCGGCTAAACCGATCGTAAATCACGCGCTCTTGTGTCGATCATTAGGCATCTTTCACTTTGATCGCAAAGAGCGCGCTTCTGTGTTGATCATTGGGCATTGGCTAAACCGATCGTAAATCGCGCGCGCTTGTGACGATCATTAGGTATCTTCCACTTTGATCGCAAAGAGCGGGCATCAGTATTGATCATTGGGCATCGGCTAAACCGATCGTAAATCACGCGCGCTTGTGTCGATCATTAGGCATCGGCCATTTTGATTGCAAGGAGCGCGCATCAGTGTTGATCATTGGGCATTAGCTATATAGATCGTAAATGTAAAGCACGTGTGTTTCTGACGATCGCCAGGCATCAATTGTAAAGTACGTGTGCCTGTGTCGATCATGCAGCATTGGCGAGGGTTACACTTCCGTTTTTAGCAAGCATATTGGCAACTTTCTTCCCTGGCGTACTGGCGTACATCCGAAAACAAACCTCCGGCGTACACGCTGCACCTACCTGACCATGGGCTGGTCTAAGTTACCCCATTTTACGGTACTCTTTCACTGCGTACGTTCACCTCGTGCTTTCTATGTTTACGTATTACAAGGCGGTATTACACACTTATGTTTTGGTTGTGTCTAGTTACTCTAGTTGGATTTCACAATAAATAGATTTGATTCACATTCCATTCTGAGATTTAAATGATTGAAAGTTTTTTTATATTATAAAAACCCATTTATACATTCCAGATTTGAATTTTTTCCATTTTTTGCCCTATTATGTTGAATTTATCTTAATAAATTCACTTCAAATTCTGATTGATTTCGTCTGCCATTACGTGTTTTCGAACGTTTTGCATCTTCTAGAAAATGTTTGTTGTTTAAAATGGGAAACTGTTTCATTATATAAAACATAGAGCATGTACCATGGGCCATAGTGGCAAAGCAGAGTTTTTTAGACTCTTCCAGTCTTCCTCAAGTTCATTTTTGAGTCCTATAAGTAGACCAGCCAGTAAAGTATCTTGGATACCAGAATTATCATACCTACATAAGAAATCTGTTAAAATCTCAAGACTCAAGTAAATGAGGAAATTAAAATGAACTGATTCTAAAAAAATCTCTGGTTTGCCACTATGCTGAACTAGCCACTGTAAGCCACGCTGCCACAGAGGTGCATTAGTTATGCTAATTCAAAAATGACACTGACTTAGGTACCTAGCCTATTCAAAATGCCTATTATAGTTCTACTATCTACCGCTTCAAGATTGTAAAAATTATATTTGGTAGAATTCAAATCTAAGAAAAAAAATTAGCACATCAAAAAAAGAACAGCAGGGCTGCTTTATTTGATAGGGCCGAAGCCTGCAGACTAACAGGCGCCAGCGCCCAGCGTCAGCCCGGCCCGCCATGGGGCTTGTTTACCTGCGGCTTTAGCAGTTCCGAGCGGCATGCAGAAGACTGAATATTTAATAAATACAAAACTCACCACTTCAATGTCATGAAATCCAGATAGAACCAAGTTCTTTAATAGCTCACATCCAATTCCTCCGGCACCTACGACCAGTACTTTACTGGATTTTATTGAATTTTGAATACTTGTGGGAAAAATACCTGAAACGTGAGCAGCCATCTTGACGGACACTATGCTCCTAGCGAACTTTATCTTCGAGGTCTCATGCTAGTACAACAGAGGATCGAAAAAGTTAAACCAATTATTATATTCTACAATACTTGATGGTATGCATTTTTTAGAAGCTCAATGTTTTGTTTATTTCGATACTAAAAGATTCTAATGAAGCAATTAGGCTTGATATTTCAGTCAATTCGCAGCAAACTATCTATATTTTGTACAAGTGGACGAGTGTACACTCTGCCAGTAAAATTTTATCAAAAAGTCCAGTTAGAGAAATTGTTTATTCTGTTTGTAGCCCCATCATCCCATATCGGTATATGAGAACTGGCATTCTATTTACAAAAATTAAGTTGGTAAGTTTGTCTCACGACTCCTTGAGTGAACGTAGACATGTAATTATTGAGTTACTTTACAGCAGGGTGGGGCAGGAACTTTTTTTCAAATGCACGCATATATGAGGCTTTTGTATACCATCCATATTATATTTTAAGAAAAAATATCTTCGGGACTTTTATAATAATTTCTCGTAATTATTATTCCGACTGAAAATTAAAAAGCTTACCATAATCTTTGCGAATGTTAGTAATCTTGTTTTTCCCCTCAAGTAGAAATTTTCTGTAAATTCAAAAATTAAAAACTAACAATTAGTGCGGGCATTCGATAACAACTTATATCTATAAGTCTATTTGAAGAAAAAACCTCCTGCAATCGAAATTACTCTGCTAGAGGAATAATTTGATAACATGAACTTCTGTTTATTGAGAAGATTACCAATATTTAATAATTTTATTTCCCATGCAACGCCTTTTGTGTACAACCTGATTAATTGTTAATAAACAGGTGCCACTCGAGCCCCTATTTCAATACCTGTCATAGACATATGGACTGAGATCCTAGACGCGGGAGGCAGCATTGATGTGATTTATACCGACTTTATGAAAGCCTTTGACTCTGTGCCTCACCGAAGACTGCTGTCCAAGGTTTCATCACTTGGTATCCGGAGCAAAGTATTGAGCTGGATCCAGGCCTTCCTATCTGGCAGATCACAGTGCGTTGTTGTTAATGGAGAGAGATCAACTCAGGCACCAGTCACTAGTGGAGTTCCGCAGGGATCAGTTTTGGGCCCCATCCTTTTCGTCATTTACATTAACGACCTGCCGAGTTGCTGCATTAACATGGTCAAGATCTTCGCCGATGACGCGAAGGTGTTTGCCCGAAGTGATAGAGCAGACGCCGTTCAAACACTGCAGAATGATCTCAATAGAATGCAGGAGTGGTCAGATGATTGGTTACTCAGGTTCCATCTGGAGAAATGTCACGTTCTGAAACTAGGGAGTAAGAAATCTGAGGCAAAATAAACATGAAGAGAACAAATGATGGGAAGTCGTACACGGTACAGCTTCAGGAGAGCGAAGTGGAAAGGGACCTGGGGGTCTTCGTTGACAGCAGTCTGAATTTCGGGGGAGCATGTGGCAAGAATGACGTCAAAGGCAAACCAGGTGGTGGGGGTGATACGGTGTAACTTCGACTTCCTAGACGAAAACTTGTTTGTTCAGCTTTACAAGAGCCTTGTGAGGCCCTTAGTTGAATATGGACATTCTGCCTGGCAGCCGTTTCACAAGACTCTATGTGCTGACATTGAAGACGTTCAGAGATGGGGCACCAAGCTCCTCTCTTCGATCAGAGATTTGCCATACTCCGCCAGGCTGGAAGCGTTGCGTCTCCCCTGTCTTGAGCATAGGCGCCAGCGGGGTGACCTTATCGATACGTACAAGTACGTACATGGACTGTACAGGGTGTTAAAGCCCAAGTTCAGTTGTCAAGCAACAAGGATACTAGAGGCCACTCTCTGAAGCTCGCAAAAGGCAGATGCCGACTCAGCGTAAGGAGCAACTTCTTTTCACAGCGAGCAATTAACTCATGGAATAGTCTGCCATAGTCAGTCGTAACAGCGCCATCTGTAAACAGCTTCAAGAGCAGGTTACAGTTTCTGGAGGGACAACCCGGCCCTGTACAGCCCTTCATGCTACGAGTGATGAGGCTTCGATCATCTTGGAACAGACACTGCGATGTGCGCGGTGCTAATAAAAATTGTTGTCGACCAATGAACAGGACCGTCAGGGACCTTAAATCGTATTGTCAAAGTCAAAGTCTGTTGTTGCGGTCAATCGGTAAATTAAACATAACATCGCATTTATCTGAAATTTGAAATTTCAAATAAAGACAGTTGTTGAGACAAACATAATGGATACGGTCCAGAATTAGACCACAGATTTTGCAGCAACTTAGCATGAAACTTTCCATTTGAAAGCATCTTAAACTCAGTATTTATTTCAATATATGTGTTTAAAAAACTTGTGTTATAATAATTCAGAGACAGAGTATTATTCTGTTTTATTAATTCTTGAATCATATTTGAATCAAGATATCAACGTTTGAAGTCATAGATCTGTCCATATCTGATTATTTTATATTGTAAAATGCGTTAATAATTATGAATTTGAGATAAATACAATATTCCACATGTATAAACATTTTAGCACATATATAAAATTGTGAAAATTTGTAGAAATTGATGCTTATTTAGCGATGAATATCGTCAGTGAACTCGTGTAAGGTCACTCATAGGAGCGTCCCAGGTAACGGACAGGTAAGACTCCTGCAGGTCCTGATTTCGGACAGTTGCGGTCCGCATTCCACGCAGTGTGGGTGTCAGTGAGCGCTCTCTGCTCATCGCAAAGAATGAACGCTTACAAGAGAATCCACTTTTATCGTCCGGTGAGTGTTGATTGTCAAATGAACGTGATGATTAATTTATCCCAATGAATCCTTCAATTGGTTAGGCCTCATTTTGACAGCAAATTCTGATATATTTTATAATTGTTCACAAAAAAACGGCGTAAATACTCAAACGGATACGATTGCGTTCAATTAGAGGCGAAAATGTTTTCCCCTGGACATAGATAGGGTGCTGTACAACATGGCATCTTCGGCGTTGAAGAAATATACCTGTAGCCGATTCATGTACTTTTCATGACATGTTCACAGATCTAAAAACTGTCATTTTAACAAGATCTATTCAACTAATGTTGTTTTAAATCAACACTGGACATTTACTAATTCCGTAAGGTGTTATGCAAGAAATGTTGTCGCATGGATGAGTTGTAACGCATTTTTTAGCTTATAGTTATAGCGGTACCCCCTGGTGTTGGTTTTTGTTTCAAATTCTAGTAATACATCTGGAGGCTTATATATAGCTAAATAATATAGATTTAATAAGCTCAAGTATTAATAATAATGTAGGTGAACTTCTCATCTAAAAAAAGTGATAGTTAAAGACAAAGAAACGTCATTATATTAATTAAAATTTTACAAATTAAACGTCATTGTACATTACTGAAATTTAAAACTTTAAACGTAGCTTAGTCACCATCATTGCTTTTAAGACATGATATTGTACAAGTTTTTCCCTGAATTTTTGGTGTAATATGTATAGTTTTCCTGTTCCAGCTCTGGCCACTGAACAAATGGAGTCCAATGCATCCCTGAAATAATCGTGCACTGAGGGATTATAAATGCAACAAAAAAATTGCATTCGCTCAGTTGACCTTTGACTTCAACTTGATAAATGGAAAGAGACGAGCGTGAATAAGCTCTATCTTTTACTTTTTATGATATTATTGTTATTATATTCGTATTTAAATAATTATAATAATATGCTCGTATCCACCTGCTCGTACCCAACTGCTCGTATCCACCTGCTCGTATCCACCTGCTCGTATCCAACTGCTCGTATCCAACTGCTAGTATACAACTGCTAGTATCCAGCTGCTCGTATCCAGCTGCTCGTATCCAACTGCTAGTATCCAGCTGCTCGTATTCAACTGCTCGTATCCACCTGCTCGTATCCAACTGCTCGTATCCACCTGCTCGTATCCAACTGCTCGTATCCACCTGCTCGTATCCAACTGCTCGTATCCACCTGCTCGTATCCACCTGCTCGTATTCAACTGCTAGTATCCAGCTGCTCGTATCCAACTGCTCATATCCAGCTGCTCGTATCCAACTGCTCGTGCCCAACTGCTCGTATCCAACTGCTCGTATCCAACTGCTCGTATCCAACTGCTCGTATCCAACTGCTCGTATCCAACTGCTCGTATCCAACTGCTCGTATCCACCTGCTCGTATCCACCTGCTCATATACACGCGGGATGCGACAAGTTCGCTGCTCTCTGTAATTGGGAGCTCAAGTTGTGCTCACGGAGATCGGGTAAGAAGTTCGCTCGAAGTTCCGTGGCCAGCGCTTGAGACGTTCCCGATGCTTATGTTGTTCTGACGTGTCTTTGTGGTGATAATTTTGTTGTTCTGACGTGTCTTTGTGGTGATATTTTTGTTGTTCTGACGTGTCTTTGTGATGATATTTTTGTTGTTCTGACGTGTCTTTGTGATGATATTTTTGTTGTTCTGACGTGTCTTTGTGATGATATTTTTGTTGTTCAGGCGTGTCTGTGTGATGATATTTTTGTTGTTCAGACGTGTCTTAGGGATGATATTTCTGTTGTTCAGGCGTGTCTTTGTGATGATATTTTTGTTGTTCAGGCGTGTCTTTGTGATGATATTTTTGTTGTTCAGGCGTGTCTTTGTGATGATATTTTTGTTATTCAGGCGTGTCTTTGTGATGATATTTTTGTTATTCAGGCGTGTCTTTGTGATGATATTTTTGTTATTCAGGCGTGTCTTTGTGATGATATTTTTGTTGTTCTGACGTGTCTTTGTGATGATATTTTTATTGTTCAGACGTGTCTTTGTGATGATATTTTTATTGTTCAGACGTGTCTTTGTGGTGATATTTTTGTTGTTTTGAGGTGTCTTTGTGATGATATTTTTGTTGTTCAGACGTGTCTTTGTGGTGATATTTTTGTTGTTCAGACGTGTCTTTGTGATGATATTTTTGTTCTTCTGACGTGTCTTTGTGATGATATTTTTGTTGTTTTGAGGTGTCTTTGTGATGATATTTTGTTGTTCAGACGT